GCACAGTGCTTCTGAGATCCTGCAAAAATTTAAACTTGATGCATCTTGATGATGTGAAAACTAAATGCATAAAGCAGTGGAATACGGGATTGCTAAGGACATCATCAGTTTGAGTCCAAAGTTGTCCATCATTTTTTACAATATCATAGTCTGGCTTGCACCTTTTGCCCTCTTGAGAGCAAGGATGCTGTAACTTGCTGCCAGAGACTGACAGCTCTGCTCACCTCTCTGCGTCTTGCACCAGGTGCCCTGACAAAGCCTCCGCTGTCACCATGAAGGAAGATGCTCACCCAGTGGAGTTTCTGTCAGTCCTGTTGTCCTAGCTAAAGGCTAACCTTGAGGGACAGTCACGGTGGCAGGCAATGTGGGCTGCACACTGGGGCTATGACTTCTCCAACAGAAGTGCTGCCACCACGGAGAAAGGAGAAATTCCCAAAAGCATGGGCAGCCTCTAAGCAGTAACCTTCTAGTCTGAAATTTGGGATGTCCTCAAGTACCTCAGTGCCTGCATTTTAGGTAGTTCTTTCCTTTATTCCAGAGAGGCATTTTGGGGTGCAAGGGAAGATGACTCCCATTATACAAAAAAGTGATTTATCTAATAATTCTTCCTAAGGCCTTGCACCAATGGGAAAATAATGACTTGATTCTCCTAAGAGCCTCAATTTGTTTTTTCTCCACAAGGACTAAGTGTACTCCAGGAGAACAGAGAACTCTGAAGATGTATCTGAAAATGTATTCTGTATACGAAGAAAATGTCTGGAATACAGTGATGCAATGAACCTCACCTTTTTCATCTCCTCGTAGGTCAGGAAGAGTATATTGAATTCCTTCGCATGACTGTACCAGCCTGAAATGTGATCAAACCAGGCACTGCCAGGCACTTATGAAGGGAAAACATGGAAGAAAAAAATAAAGAGAGTGAGAGAGAGCACTACTATTTACAGCCATCAGCATACTAAAACAGTAGAATTATCTGTCATGCTCTGGCACATCTAGTACTTTCAAGGACAGGAGTGTATTCTTCTTTCTCTTCTGTTTCTGCATTTCCCTGAGGCTCGGAGGGGGACTGTGCCCACTGGGGCCCAATTAGTTGGCTTTTACAGACCATGGACGGACACATATGGTCACAGCACCTGTGTGACACTTTTTTATGCCATGTTGCATTTGATCCCTGACTTCTCATAATCTGCACTAATACTGGCAGAAGCAAAAGCCTCTTTCTCTAGTTTTTGTTTTGCTTTCTTTTCTGCCTATCCCTATGGTTTCAGCTCCATAACCA